CTGAGGTAAATCAATTCAGGCTTTGTAAAAGAGGGACAGCTTTGAAGCTATTCAGAAACTTGGCCTTCTTGAAAGTCTTTAGTTTGACATGAAGCTTAGTCAAGACAGTTATAATACACAACTGAAAGAAAATTAAGTATCTACCTTTTGATGTTGAGAGGTGTTGAAACATCATCAGTCTCTCAGAGGACTTTTCAATTCATTCCAACATTCCTGTTGCATCTTGAAGTAAGGAAATTTTATTGCTAACTTGCGAACTAGAGTTTCAAACCTTCAGAGCCCTTTTCAGGAGTCTTGTGAGCAGTTCTGTGCTGACAACAACTGCTTTATACCTTTTTTTAGTACTGGTTTCCAGTAAAACTAGTGTCTTCCTTTGGAAGGTAGCTTGACATCCATAAGAAATCTCAGTGTAAATCAAAGAGCCATTTTCAGCCAAACAGACTCAAAAGACTTTAAAGTTCAGGTCTGTGTGCATACTGTACACCACACCCTAAATTCTACTGTAGAAACATGATGCTGGCTGTGTTATTACATTCAAATTACATGACCCAGCCCATATAAGAACTCCAAACCTACAAGATATGGGCATTCATTCAGGGCGTTGTGGCAAGATTTGCAAGCTGAGCCATGGTATTTTTGTGATTTAGCTACGTTGCTTTGCATTCTTAAATAAGGACACTCTCCACTGCCTTTGGAGACGCTGCACCATTTTCAGGCACACAGTGTCATCATGCCCAGTGTCACAGGAGGCTTTTATCAATATGCATTATACAGAATCTTTTTCTAGTGTAAACATATTTAGTTAAAGACTGTTTCCATCCATTCAGCTTTTCTGTGTCTCCCAGGTCCAGGAGACTTTTAAGAAGTGTAGTCAGGGGCTGAAGTTCTGAATTGCATCCTGAATTCCCTAAGATTCAGCATTATCCGTGGAGCCACTGATAGCAGGCGGGCTGACCTTCAATCTTCTGAAATATTGAGGTTTCAAAGATGCATGTTAATCATATCTGTTCTGTTGTTTTCCTGTGAGTCACCAGGTTTCCTTCAGCTGAGAAATTTCTATGCCAAAGAAGAAAATCAGAAAATGCCATTTGTTTCCTCCACTTACCCTTTTGACCTCATTCTACCAACTATATATCCATGTGTACTTCACGTTTGCAAAGATAAAAGTGCACACCTTGAAAGAATTTCTCTGGTGTGGTACTCCACTGTAATAGCAGGAGAGCTTAATACATCTAGAGCTCTGCTTGCTTGATTTCTTCTGCACACATCCTCAGTTCACAGGAGAAATACAGGACTTATCAGAAGACCTTTTGCCCCCCTGCCCCCCTGTACAGTTACATTTAGCACATGCAGGCCTAAGTCTTTTGAAAATAAATATTCTGAAAAGCTCTAACTTCAGGGCTTTTAAGAAGTATCCTGTTTCTGTGAAGTATAGAGGAACCAGATAAGTGATGGGGATGTTCAAGCAAAACAGAGGATTCTCTCACTGATGCGCACATTATATGGGCATAGAAGACGGAGATTAATACTTCATTGTTGGAGGCAGGTATAGCTTCGTGGAGATCCAGGCGTGTTCTTAAAGCAGCAAAGCAAAGCGGGCCAGGGAGGCACCTGATGCATGGGCTGATGGCTGCACTGTCTTAAGACTGGTATTCGTGAGATGGCTGTGTACAAGAGCAGCAGGGAAGAAGACATTCTCAGTTCCCCAGAAAAACCCGCTATTTCTCCAAATTTTTTTCCCCTTTCACATAGTGAGAACTCTGTCCCTGAGACAGTGGCTGTGGATGCCAGGAGGCAGCAGGATACTAGGAACAAACTTCTTGAGCGTCTGGCACGAGCTCGTGGGAATTGGTTTCTGCACCATGCAGAAGGGTATAACCGCTCATCTGTTCTTCCTCTTGACTTCACTGTCCACTAATCTGCTTGTGATTAATCTTGCAGACTGGGTGATATACAGACCATGCTGTTTCCCTACCTGCTTTGGGGTTGGTGTATTCAAACCCCCATAGTTAACATTTTGTGATTCAAAGTTCCTGAATAATTATTGAGGGCTCCGTTGTGCCTATGCAGGATAGTTTCATATTACACTTACATGGGAATCAAGGTCCTGCTGGGTCCCTTGGAAGAAAACCTGTCACCTTTTGAAATTCCAGTTGTTTCTGAAAATCAGCAATTAACAAGTGTGTGTTGTGTATTTTAAGACAACAGAACTGTCTGTAGTCGTGTTACAAGTTTGCTCTTGGTGGCTATGGGTGAGCAGAAGTTTGTACTTCTTGAAGAAATACGTTGATAACATTTTAGAGAACCGATTGTTCTGACCCTCCTGAGGGTAGTTTTGAGTAGGGCTGTGTGAACGTAACAGCTTTTTAGAGGAACAAGAAACAACGCCGCTAACACGCTTTGCAGTCCCATTTCTGGTTTTTCAGTGCACATGCGGCTTTTGGTACCAACTACTAGGATATGGGAACTGTTTGTAATGAGCTCTCCAGAGATTTCTTGCACTCTGTGCACCCTTGAGCTATTCAGTAATGTCCTACAGACTTTCTGTTTTTCTGTTACTGATCTTTCTCATTACCTATGAGTGCTTCACAGTTGGGAACAGAGTTGGGAACTGTCTGGACAGCCCAACACAGTGCTCAGGAAAGTTCAATTAGCTTCAATTCTTGCTGTGCAAACTTGGATATCGCTTCATGGCAGAACCTTGTGTTCTTCATATGTACCCAGATATATGCATTCCTTTTGCCTGTAGTATGTATATCACTACATAGTTGCAAATGCGCGATGTTGAATATTATATCGATAGCAGAGTGCGAAGGTAGGAGATGATATCACAAACAAATGTTCTTCCTTTATTTTTCTTTCTAGATTAATACAGCAGATAATTTCACCAATTGCAAGGAGGAAGCAGAAGACGATGACACTTACGTGCTTATGTTAGGCTCAGAAACTCAACCAGCCGTGAGTAAGTCATGTTGTTAGCTTTATCAGGAACAAAGCATGTGCTGTATTAAGTGACTGGGATTATGGACAAACAGAGGGGGCAAATTATTTTAATCTTACAATTTCCACACATTACTGCAACATCTAGGGAGGGCAAATGTCCTAGGAGAAGGGGGAAGGCAGGTGAGGGATTCAGTCGTGATAACAAAGTCATCGCTCAGTAAGACAGACCTCAGTGCAACCACCCCTCCTGATAAAGTCTGGAAATCTGTTTAAATTTAATTAAATTATTTAATTAATTTAAATAAAATCTCTACTCTGAATCTAGAAAATAGCTGAATTCTCCAAGTTCTCAGGGAACAGCCTTCATGTAAGGGGAGGCACTGCCTACAGGTGCGGCCAACTCCTGTATGGAAGCACAGATAGTAGACATTTTGCAGCTTGATGTTCATACATCTAAGCACAGATTGATGACAAGCTTGTTGGTAATCTGTGTGGTCATATGCATTCCCCTTGAAAACACCAAAGTTGCTTGTTTGCATTTACTGATGGCATATATTTTGCATAAGTTTTACAGTATTGTGGATCTATAAAACTAAACTTCATCCTGTTTCTGTCTTATCTGTTTGTTCACAATTTTATCTTTTCAACTGTCTCATATTCTGTATGAAAAAGATGTTTCTTATTTGCTTATTTCCTAAGTTTAAACCAGTTGCTTTAGTACATCTAGGTAGATGATAGATGCTGTGAAAATGTGAGCTAGAAACCTGGTTAGCCCTGGTACATTTTTATGGTCTCTGTCATGCTGTATATGGGAACACATCAGGGTGGACACACGGAAGAACACGGATTGTAACAGCTGGCCATGTTAGCCAGCTAAATGCCCTAACCTCCCATTTGAATCAGTGGTGAAAGAAAGGCATCACCAAAGGATAACTCAGAATGGAAACCTACCTCAAGGGCTTGGTATTACCCGCTATGCATTGACTGTAAGTCCGCTGACGGACTTGTATAGTTTACTCTGTTATGTTGCTGAGGTTGACTACCCAAATCTGGATGCTGTACATAGTGATTAAAATGTAGGCTTTCACATCCCTCCACAATGTTCTTGTTCTGTGGTCCGTGGGCCACTAAAGACAGAAGAGCTCCATTTCCACAGGAGTACAGCTATGTCTCCCAGGGGCAATGTTTATTTCATTTTAGAGAGATTTACATAAGCACCCAAACCCCATTGTATAAAACCAAGTTACACAGCTGTGTGAGCTATGGCTTCATTTTACTTAGTGTTGCACTGTGCTGCATTGAAAGTCAAGTAATACAAATTATGGAGGCAAGGTAGAGCATGTGTAATTTCATTCTGACAGCAACTCTAGAAAAGTTTAACATTGCGTGCACGAAGATGGTGTGTATCAGAGTAGCAAGATACAATAAAAACTTCCACTGTTGATTTGGTAAATATTTAAAAAGCTGTTCACTGACAGTATGTATTTGACAGCTTTCCTACTGTATCAGTTCATAAAAGTTTTATTAGCCATTGCGTTGCTTCTGTGGGAATCCTTGAAACTGGAAGTGTTTCCAGATGGCAAATTTTAAATGAAATAATGCATTCTTTAGCATTAAAAGCCAAGGAGAACCCAGGAGATCAATGTGGAATTGAATCAAGATGCCAGCAAGAAGCTGAGGTGGATGAGGAAAAGAAAGATGATGTAGAAGACAGCAGAGAGGAGACAGAATATGAAGATCAAGAAGAGGAAAATTCATACAGCTTTCACAACAGTCCTGACAATTTGTATGCCAGCATACCTGATGATCTCAAAGAGAACAGAAGAGAGCACTTTTTCTGTAAGAGGCCACCTCCTCCTCCCCCTCGAAATCTGCCTGGCATCCTAAGACAAGATGGTCTGCAAAATTTATCACAAGGTAGGATCCTGGGAGGAAAATAACCCCAGATACAAACATGTGCAAGTGCAGACTAGGTGCTGCTGTAGAGATTATGTATGATCAGTTCTTCTAACAGCAGTAGCTAGGCAGTATGGCCCTAATTCTGCAAAGCAAGCCTGTGCGTGTGAACTTTGCTGCGTCAAGATGTTCGTGACCAGGTATGTCAGCTAATACTGTGGTATGGGCTGCTGGGTTCACGTTTCAGGTTTTCCTCACTCTGCCCATCTCAGAGAGCTGCCATGATGCATTGGATTTACAAGAGGGGCTTGAAAGAAAAGATTGAGCTTGTATTTCTGTCAAGCTGACTTAAGTATTTACCATTTAAAAATATTACATACCATCTTAATTTAATATAGCTTGGAATTTCACAGGTAGAATTAATAGAAAGTGACTGTACAGAGAGAAGTAACATAGTATTTTATTGTATTTTAGCCAACGTTGTGGTTAGAAATGAAAAGCTATATTATGTTGCAGGTTGAAAAGAGAGGGAGAAATTGTGACCTTTAATGAAATGCTTTGCCTTTTTTTTAATACTTCTGCCCCAGAGTAAAAATCTAAAATTTAGTGTTGTAGTTTGATTCAAGTGATGAGAAGCCCAAAATACTATTTGCATCTGTTTCAGAAGGGATGATTATAATTTTTTCTCATTGGGAAAAATAAGTATGCAAAAGAATTCAAGCTTAAATACTAGTCTTAAATAGTCACATGGAATGGGGGTGGAACTTCTTATTTGTCATGGACACTACTGATAAGCATGCACACAAATTGCTTCTCAGTTTTTCCACTGCTTATTACTGTTAACTCTGTTTTTAAATGTGGCATAACCTATTAGAGTCTTAAGTTACCATCACCAAACACTCTGAAGTTCACATAAGTAGATAGAAATAGCTTTCTAGCCTTATAGCCTGCTACAGGTATGTTTTCATCCTGTTTTCTGCGGTGAAAGAAAAGGCTGGCTATATGCAGGAAGTCATAGGTGGATTCTAAGAGAAAGGGTGGCAGAATAAAAATTAATGTTAAAGATGTGTTTTGCTTCCCACGAAGTTTGCTTCAACCGCAGCAATATGTGTACATAAATGAGGGGTCAGGTTTGGCATACAGGATTTGTTAGCATATGTTTGATATAAATGTCTGTCTTGGAATAGCTCTTGTGTAGCTGTACCATCCAGTAGTAAGGTGGCCCTCTCTGCCAAATGCCGGTTGTCTGTATGTGGGTACCAGCAGAAAAAGTTTCTCCGCTGCTTAGTGTCCTGTGCTGAATCCTGTGCTGGTAAGGCAGAGTTCGTCTGAAAAAGCTCCTGTGTGAACAGTTCATTTAAAACATGCTGTGAATTTTCCTGAAGTGTTAGCCCTGGTTTCGTCACTGGGGAATGGGGTATCAGAATTCCTCTACATGAGGATGATGCTTGCTTTCAAAGAGGACCTCTAATGAGTCATTGCTACGTATTTTTAGGCAGCCACTTGCTTTAGGTATTGCTGTGGAATACCTAAAAGGCAAGTCCCCTCTTCTTGAAGTCTTTGTTTTGGCAGTGGCATGAGAGTGCCCCCTGTGGGAGTTAAAATAAAGAATATCCTACACAGAAAGAAACAGAACTTTTGTAGTGACATGGAAACAAAATATTTTTTTATCTTAAATATGGCAGGTGTATTAATCCCATTTTTATTTTAAAGCATTTTTACATCTTAGCCAGAATACATGTTGATAGTACGTACTAATAAGACATCCTATTTATAAATATATCCCACTTCCAAAGACTGATTAGCTCCTCTAAGCCCATTATCTGATAAAACAATTCTTTAAATAGCAGCCAAAGGATTGAGAACACCAGTAGTGACCACAGCCTAGTTTATCAGATACACGCGTACAGGCAGTAGGTTACAACATGAGGAAAACATGACTCAGTACAAGAATTCCAGCCAGGTCTACTGTTTTTGCGGGAAAGATGGGTAATCAGTACAAGGAAGTTATAAACACTTACGAGAACACCAGCCTCGATAACAGCTTCTATCTCTTAGCAGTTTATGGGATTTTTAAAGACAAATCAAAACAAACCCAAGTATTGGGAAACTCATCAATTCCTTTTAATGCTGTAAAATGTAGAAGCTAAAGGAAAGCAAGTTCTGAGTAGCTGTGCTATGAAATCTATGAAGCGGGTCCAGAGGAGGGCCACCAAAATGATCCGAGGGCTGGAGCACCTCTCCTGTGAGGCCAGGCTGAGAGAGTTGGGGTTGTTCAGCCTGGAGAAGAGAAGGCTGCGGGGAGACCTTATTGCGACCTTCCAGTACTTAAAGGGGGCCTATAGGAAGGATGGGGACAATCTTTTTGGCAAGGCCTGTTGTGACAGGACAAGGAATAATGGATTTAAACTAAAGAAGAATAGATTTAGACTGGGTATAAGGAAGAAATTTTTTACAATGAGGGTGGTGAAGCACTGGAACAGGTTGCCTGGAGAGGTGGTGGAGGCCCCATCCCTGGCAACATTCAAGGCCAGGTTGGACAGGGCTCTGAGCAACCTGATCTGGTTAAAGCTGTCCCTGCTCGCTGCAGGGGGGTTGGGCTAGATGACCTCTAAAGGTCCTTTCCAACCCAAAACATTCTATGATTCTAAGTACAGAGAGTCAGGGAATTTATTGGGGTGGAGGGTTTGGATAGTCTTAGCATAGATTATAAGAGGTCATAAATTTCATCTACACTGTAAGGGGCTCTTTAAATTTTTTTCACCTTGTCCTACAATACATCTTAGTAAAGCCCTCAAAACCAAGTGGGATGTTGAAGATGTAGGAAAGACAAAACCCAACATTTTCTAAAATAAGTTTCAATTGTTAAGTCATTGTTGCAACAGCTAACAAGTAGCCTGACTTCCCAAAATGCTAAGGGCCACAGGTACCACTTACTCGGCTTCACCATTAAAGAACATGTTTGTGTGACTCTTATGGGAGAAACTGGGGCACTTAGTATTTCTTTTAAATAAGCCCATTTATTTTGGGGCTAATAGCTAAGCATCTATTTTTGATAATCTGATGTGAAATCATGAGGAGACCCTGAAGTTGGAATTATTCTTTTGGGACATCCTCTCTACTGAGTTAGATGATCAGAAGCCTCTGAAAATCAGAGCACTTTAGTTTAGAAGTGAAATAGGTCTCTGAGTTACTTTAGGAGACTCTAAGTCCTAATCTCCTTTCTTTATCCTATATATGGAACACAATTCCTCGCTTTTTCAGAGAGGAATTTTGTGGAGGACAGAAGTGAAAGAGAACGAGGTAATGGACTCATAACAGCACGCTACAGAGAAGACCGAGATACATGTGAGGGAGACGACAAGGAGGAGCACCCCTACACTTTTGCAGAACTGGATGAATCTGTGTATGATTTCATTCTGGCTGAGGAGAAAAGGAAAGAACGCAGCTCTTCTATCATGAACAGGCCACCAGCCCCTGCCCCTCGTCCCATATGTTTGCCGGTCAGAGAGGAGAACACTCTCTATATAGCACAAGGTTAGTGCTGCTGCTTTATAATTATTTGCTGGTAGAATATAGACGTGTCTCTTCTATTTGGTGAATAATATTTTTTAAGAGAGTAAGATCCTTGTTCAGTTACTTTCGAACCAACAAATTGGTTGACGTAGTCAACCTATTCTCACCTTTCAAATGAGCCGAGAACATCTCTGACTAATGTTAATTTTCAGTTTGCATCTCAGCGTCACTTTTTTGGTTTAATTTTACAAAAGCTATGACAATATGATGGAAAATTAAGAATCACTGGGCTAGCTGTGAGTGTGTGTGTTTTAATGGTACGATACAGAATGTGCTATTTGAATCACCTTTCCTTTCAGTTTATTTATCAAAATGTTTTTACTTCATTCCAAGAGATTCTAGCCATAATTTATTTCTTCTGATGAGAACAGCAGGGAGAAATTCCTGTGTGAGAACTCCTCTTTCAAATATCCTTTCTCCAATCCCAGATGCTAGAAATGGCCACCTCAGGAAGGATTATGTCCTTTTACCACTTCTGTGAAAACTGGGGGACCTTTTTGAGCTTATTCGTGGAAATGTAGGGCCGGAAGAGATTTCAGGTATCTTGTAGTCCAATTCAGACTGAAGCCAGATTTCAAAATAACAAAAGGAATTTCTGTGAACCTACTGCAGAGGTGTCCATGTAAACCCCAAAATCCATACTGCCTGCATTTCCAGCTTCCTTTACAAAAACCTGCCAATGTATAAGAATATGCATAAGAATAAATGGTTGAAAACCAGGCTGAGAAAGGACACCAGTAAATGGCTTACTCCATCCAGCATGTGTTTTAACAGGATTAATACCACCCAAATCATCCTACCAAATACAGAGAAGCACCTCCTTTTTCATGCCTATTTCAGTCAGTGATTTATTTCATTCTTCCTAGCTAGCTCCCTGCCTCCAGGCTGTATAACTCCAGGTGAGGGCCAGAATGCGTGGGCTAATGCGTTCATCATTTAGTTGCTCTTTCTTCAGCATATTCAGGAGGTGTAAGGATGAATCATTACAGTAGTTAAAGTGTAATCCAAAAACGGATGTGTATAGGGGGCCTGTTACAACTACAGAAGTCCTGAAATGGCTGCTTTTACTGAGATTGCTAGAGCAGTGTCTCAAATCTTGGTCCTCCGTCATCATAGACAGGCCAGTGACTTGAAAACCCTTACTGTGAAGATGCATTATTTGGGATATTGCTTTTACGGTCTTTTTTTGCACTAGAGTGTTTCTGCTTTGTCCACCCTAACTGTTCACTAAGGAAGAGACTATCAGAGGAACTACTCTGATATGACTGTCGTTCTTTTACACCATATATAAATATATATACATAGATACACACACCCCCAAGGTTTTCAGCTTTGCTTTTAGAAGCAGGTAGTGGTAGACAAATTCGTTTCCTGTTGTTCTGTGAAATCAGCCTCTGGCTCAAGTTCATTTACTTATACAATAAATGAGAAAAGTGGAAGCGCTTCAAGAAAGCTTCAGTTGACCACTCAGGGCTCTGTTGCGCTTGGCCATCCTGCTAGTTCCAGATCTGGAGATTCTCACTCTCCTGTTTTGTGCAGGGATTCCTGAGATAGATAATGAAATTTTAGACAGAAATGATATCTCTCCAGCTGAAAGATTTTTCTTGCTACTTGGATTGGTAATTTTTGTCCTTCCCACAGTGGTTAAAAAATTCTTCATCCAGTCCAGCAATATCCCAGTTTCCGGTTTATTATATTAAAACTGCTTATAATCGGAAAAAAAAGATTGTTTCGGCTGTAAGAACCAGAAAATTTCATTCCAGTCCATCATTAAAATCTGCATGTGTTTGCAGCCATTGCTTTATAATTTAATCTAATCAGTGTAAAATAAAATTACTCTGGCTAGTCCATATACACATTTTTCATCCCTCAAATAAATTGATGATAGTTTCGGGGTTTGTTTTCATATGCTATGTTAAAAAGAGCATTGCAGAAGTTGCAAAGTCAAATAATCAAAAGTTAAAATTGAGGTAGTTTTGCTGGTTTACTTCTTTCTCCCTGCCACAAACATTACAATACAGTCCTTAAGTATATAGTCATGTGCTGCTATTTATCACAGATATTTTGTTTCATCTAGCGTTTAAAGTGGGTGAGCGCAAGATGCAAAACTCTTCAGTGTTTTTCATTCCCATTTTTGTTTAAAATATAATTCATGCCTGCCCTAGGTCCAATGTGTTGTTTCAGAGTCTCCTGTGATAAACCCTTTGATTTGTTCTGTATACATTGAGGTTTTGGATGCCCAATATGAAGTAGCTAAGATGCCATTCTTGAGATTAGCAGCATTATCAAATACTTCACTCATTCAAAGCAGACATCCCATTGATTTGAGTGGCCACTACGAGTGCTCAGAACTTCGAATTAAATCATTAGTGTGTCTAGTCAGCACCCTAACGTCAGGGATTCACGAGCCCGATTGTTGGCTTAAATGCCTTATCTGGGGTTACGCTGGGGCTTTGTTGGAGAGAGAAGCCCTGTTCAGGAGAGCAACTTGTACTTACTTAACTGAGGCATCCTTCCTTCCTCTGTATTCTGTCTCCATTCACTAAATACCTCTTAACTTCTAAAACAAATTAAATACTATTTTTGTAAGAAACACGTTGTCTTCACTGCACAGTTCTGGTTGATCTTCAGAACTGTTCCCTTCTGGTTTTCAGTAAGACACAGGTCCTATGGGAAAAATGGGATTAGAGAATGGAGCATGATGGACAGAGGGAGGGCTGTGTTAAGGCTACACAGTCACCCACAACTGGATCCTCATGTACTTTGGGAGTTCATGGGAAGAACAAGCTTCATGCTCCAAGAATTGCAGGGGCTGTTGTGGCAGTGCCATGCAGAAGTGCAAGAGGAGGATTTCTTTCTGCCCTTTGTGTACCCACAGAGGTGATGGAAAATTACGGGCTCGCTTATTGGAAAAAAAAATGTAAGCCTTGCCTAGCAAAAAGGCCTTTTCTCTTGGATTGCGTGCTGGTGCCTCCTTTTTAATTATTTTTTATATCCATCAGGACAAATCAAGTGGCTGAATTCCCATGAGGGCTTTCACCACACATTGAAGTCCATGAAGTTACAAAAGAATGTCTTCTGTAAGCAAAAGTGGTGGTGTTTCCGTGAGAATAGCAACAAAGAAAGTGAGCAAATATCCCTCTTTGTGCTAAGTAACGTTCAAATACATGGAAGCTCAAGTTTATGCTAGGGAGATAGCCTGCTCCCTGTAGATTACCACTTAGTGCTCTGCAGAATAGGATAGTGGAACTGTTGATCTATAGAAAACAAACATGGAACTTCACAAGGCCGTTTTTAGGGTCTCTTTCAGAGCAGGATCTACACTTTGAAACCTAGGCAGTAGACAGTGATGCAAGTTGTCATAACTGAACTACCGCAATTTACAGTTTGAGTATCTGACCTGAATTTGCTGACAAATAAATTCTGGGAAATATGAGGGAGTTGAAACACTTAAAATATAAGTGTTCTAATAGCTTTTACTTAGTTTCATTTATTGTATTTTCAAATTTTAATGAACGTGCAAACTACTCTATGGAACACTGCTAAACATACTGCATCTTTAACAGAGAGTACATTTGTTCTTTAATTTAGACTGCTGCAAGAATTCTGCCTTCTGTATGAAAGGCTCATCAACCAATGGAGCAGCAAACTGGTGCCAAATAGCTTGCTGTCCAGATGGTGTGCACTCTTAGTGTGCTCCCTTTCCATTCCTCAAGTGCTTAGTATTCCTTTGTAGGTTATTTTGGTGTTTTTTCAATTGTGTGCTGCCAAAACAACTGTTAAATAAATGTATGAAGGTGTTGTGTTTTCAGTTTACAGTGCAATTTTAATGTTCCCTATTGATACCAGGTTTGACTGAGCTGGAAACCAAAGTCCCCAGTGTATTCTTAGGACAGGTGCATGAGTTTCTGTAATGCCTCCCTACCATTTCTGAAGTCTGACCTGCCAGGACTGCCTCAGGGCTTAAGGATTACCTTACTGACCTGGTCTGATCATTTACCTCTTATCACAGACCACCAATATGAGAGGGGTTCTCTGCAGCAAGGACACCTGTCCTACAACAGCATAAATAAAACTTCATGTGCTATAGTCTTTGTTCCTTTGCAAACCTCTCACAAATCCCTGAAAGAATGCATTTCCCCTCTGTGCACTGGAAACATTTTACTATTTAAAGATAGCTGTCTGTGGGACTTCACATTAGGGTTAAAAGTTAGCAGTGGAAAAATACAGTTCCCAGTTACTATCCCAGAAGAGAATAGCATTCTCATTGCTCATCAAAATCACAGGGTATGCAGAAAAAGTAGCAGCCAGTGGATATTTTTAGGGAGGCAGAATCTCTCATGTACAGAACAGACAACATAAACCCAAATAAAATAAAAAAAACAAAATCCAGAACAGAACCGTTAGTGTCTTGGAAACTTAGCAGGCTGATTACTGGGAACTATAATGATTGCATCCTGAGTTAGTAATTCTTATTATACAGATTGTTTAAATGCTCTAAAGCAGGAGTTTCCAAAGTGAAGCCTCGGAGCCCATGCAAACTGCAAAACATTTATGTCCCACAGAGGGATCTTTTAGTACTTTCCTACAGTGAGTATCAAGTACTGCACTGCAGATGAATTTCATTACGTATCCCCAACTTAAGGGTGGTTTTCCATGAATAAAATACTAGGAACCACTGTTCAGCTGTTCTTAGAGCACTTAGACTGTTTTTACAGTCCTGGTTGGGAAGTGGCTTCATCCTGGCTTCATCCACTGTGTTCATTCAATCAGATTTTTTGCTACCTTAACTTTGGTAGGTTGAAACATGTACTGAATAAGGTGCACAGAGAGAAAATATTTATAGGATGCTGCCTGGTGAAAAGCAAACTGTTCTAAATAGTATATTTCTGCTAAAACCAGATATAGAGTCTTCCCCTTTTTGCTTTTCTCTACTGAAGAAAAATGGGACTGCAGAGGTA